CTATAAAAAGAAGTAGACTTGATATTAATGCACATATTAAATGTGCTCTATCAAAAACTAAACCAAATTTTTAGATAATAATTGCTGGTAAGCAGTGCCAGATTTCCCATTAATTTGCTTTTGTATTATATATTAAATAAGATAAAATATTTTTGTGTATTTGATAGACTGGCATATTTTTAAGTAGACTGCACTGCACTAGACAGTCTAATCAAAATAATCTTAAACAAAATATTATCCTGATGAATAAAAATTACATTCTTAAAACTTTTACCTTGTAATAATTATTAAAAGCAAAGGGGTCTATGAAGATTTTATGATATATAATTTGGGGAATTGGTAAGAAAAGGTTAGGAACCACTGCATTAAATATTAAATATTATTTTTAACTTACATTAAAAAAAAACGCCATTTAAATAAAAATAAAAATATTTTTTTTTAGATTTCAATACTTTTAAAAATCTCTCTTAAATTAAATTATTGTTAATTTTTTCATTAAAAATTTTTTTTTTTTTTTTTAATTTAATTTTATAGTTATAAACCTGGACAAAAAAACTCATCTTAAGCAGATGTTAACTGCATTCAGCTACTGTCTTGTAAAAAGTCTTCTAAGCAAAAACTCTAGGGATAGGCAACATAATTCTGTTGACCAGCCTCGAACCCCTTCTTTATTTATTAAACTGGCATAGATGTAAACCTATCTTGTATTGTTTCCTGTCTCTAGGATGATGAATGGTGAATCTTATTGACTCTACTTATTTGTTTTTGCTTGTTTTATCTTGAGAGTGGCAATGCAACTTTTCCTCAGTTTAATAGTTCTGAGGCCGAATGATTTACATATGCTAATGGTTTTAGAGATGCGAATTCCATCAACAGCTTTAAAATATCAAAATATTAACAGTACTATTTTGCGCAAGGATTGTGTTCCTGCTAATGCCTTTGGTGCGTATTGTCTACAAAAAGAGTCTTAAGTTAGGTAAGTTTCGGTCAGTTAACAAGGCTGAGACTACTGCATAGCTCATTGCTTAGAAGGTTGTATCTTTTTTCTCATTTCAACAAATACTATTGTGGTTGCTACTCAAAGGAGCAATCATCTTTAGTTCCATTAACTAAAACACTTTTTCGCCTGACTCATTATTCAGCAAAGTTTATTTACTGCATCTGTCTAAACATGCTCTGAAAACTTTTTTTGTCAATTTTTTCGCCGCACTTCAATCCTTTGAAACTCCCTCCCATATTCACACTTTCTTGACTAGTACAACGTAAAAATTTATAAGTCTTCTATAACCCATTTTCTTGCTCTATGAAAAAAATTTTTTTCTAGTTACTCCTAACTTAGTAGTGGTTGCTTGCAACTTAGTAGTGGTTGCTTGCAGCTTTGTTGGGAGTGCATCAGAATATGAAAAAACAAAATAAAGTGAACAGTGTTGGAGATCATTTATGCTACCTTAATATTATGAAAGATAAATTATAAAAATATATATCTAAATTTATAAATATTTTTAAAATTTAGCCTATTTTATAAACTTTTTTTTTTCTCTAATTTTTTATTTTCTACATTACGCAGTCTCTTTGGTAAAAAAAAATTGCTGCATTTTAAAATTGATATTGCCGGAAACAAATTTTTTGAAATTATTTTTCAAGAATTAAGTTAATTTCTATGGAAAAAATGCAATTTTATTTTGCAAAATAACCTATTATAAACATGACTTGTAAAACTTTTTAGATATTATATAGACATATATTATATTAAACTATAAATTTAAGTTTTAAAATAATATATATCATATAGACATATATTAAATGAAGTCACAAACTTGACTTTTAAAATGTTATATATATATATATATATATATATATATATATATATATATATATATATATATATATATATATATGAATTTAAACAATTTTAAAAATGTATTATAAAATGTAATATATATATATATATATATATATATATATATATATATATATATATATATATATATATATATATATATATATATATATATATGTATATATATATATAATGTATCATACAGTGGCGGAACTTCAAAATTTGGGCCCCCCCGCAAAAAAATGTTTTTTTTGCGGAAAAGAGTTTTATAGTATAAATATTATTGAGAGTATAACTTTTTTTATATGAGGGCCCCCTATAGCTGGTAGACCCCCCCGCAACGCAGGGTCCTGCGTCCAGTAGTTCCGCCACTGGTATCATATATACATATAATATATATCATATAATATATATATATATATATATATATATATATATATATATATATATATATATATATATATATATATATATATATATATATATAATATAAGTAAAGATAAGTAAAATATTTATTTTAAGAATCAATTTAATTATTTCATTGTTGTTAAAAGTTTTTGATTTATAAAAATTTTATGTAAAGTTTGAGATTAGAAATCTTTTACTATAAATGTAATTTTGATAATTTTGAAATAACGACGATTTGTCATGTGTTAAATTATAATTTTACATTTATATAACTTGTAGTTATTATTTTACATCTAAAGGTATAATAACATATATAAAAAATTATTTAATCTAATATAAGCAACTTATATAGAGGAGAACCTTATGAGGTTTTTGATAAAACTGTTGAAAATTGTTATCTACCATTAAAACGAAGACATTTAATCTGCTACCAACTATAGTTTGTGAATGAGTGAATGTATTATGAAAAATGGCAAGAAATCATGCAAAACAAAAAGACAATACTATTAGAATGACACTGCAACTTAAAAAGAATTTGATTAAAAATGTAAAAAAGTATCAAGTTGATGATTTGTAAATTGCAACATCAAATGCAAAAGATTTGATAAGATAATAGAACTCTCAATCAATGGCCAAGAATCACATTTAGATTTTTTCTCATATCAGTGTAAATTAAAAAGAACATTAGGGTCTATTAAATTAGAGTTATACTATGAAAGTTAAAAGAAACAAACAAAAAGAAACACAGAAATTAAAAACTATTGAAAAAGAGATATCAAGAAAAAAAAATATTCAAAAAAATAGGTCCAATATACTGTAAGAATTTGAAGACAACAGTTCCAATAAAAACGAAGTCAGTATTATTGCAAGACAAAAGAATTTTAGAAAAAAAACATCAGGAGTATTAGAACACCCTAAAGTTTTTTTAATGGCTGACTCTAGGTTGAATCTAACGAGCAGAGGAAGGTGTGGAATTATTTTAGTTGTAGCTGAAGGATTAGGTCACATTTAAGATGAAATATCTCAAGAAGCGCAGCTGCTAGCTAAGTAAAAAAGGTCAAATTACTGAGTATTATTTAAAAAACAGATAATAAAATTGGAAAACATTCGTTTCACTCACGTACTCCTCCATTCACTGGGATTCAAAGACTCCATTCACTAGGATTGACTCAGGTGTACCTGCAGACACCATATCTTATAAAGAGTTTTGTCTTCTGTTTACTTAAGAATTCTTGGAGAATGTCTCCAAATTCGAGCTTTTTAAAGACTTTAAAAATAATTTATGATCTAAACTCACATTAAGTTTATGTGCAACTTTTAAAAAAGTTAAAATTGTGGAACCAGTTTTAAAGACCAAACAAGCAGAAGTAAAAATTTGTCTAACTTACTTAATTGGAAGTCTCAATAATATTAAAATATTATTAAAACCTCAATAAATATTAAAAAATGATTATCAAGAATGTTGCGAACGTGAAAATGTGGCTTACATGTTTCAACACAATGGATGCATCATTAAATGACTTGGAAATCTACATGAAATGTTTATTTATGAAAAAAATGACAATGGTGTCAGGATTAGAAGTTGGTATCATAATATAGAGGTGGAGGGGTTATTTTTGTGGGTAAAAATCTTTTGTGAATGAATTTTTATTTGGTTTTAGTTTAAAAAACTATACATAAAACTCTTTGAAAATATAAACATAGCTAACTATATTAATAGATGCATGTAAGAAGTTTATTTGAAATTGTTTTAGGAAAAACACTTTTAAAAAGGTTGGAAAAAGGTCATGTATGTATATGCTTATATTGTTTCAAGGTGACACGAAACTTCGAAAATACATTGCCTTATAATTATCTACAAACAAAAAAATAATAGCTTCAGAATTATTTCACATTGAAAATTTACAAATTAATTTCCTATTCGAACATGTTATTTGATTTGTTTGCAGCTATATTTGAGCATATTTAAAATTGTCAGAAATTAGAATTCCGAGATATTTTTTGGATTTTGTGACTTTTAAAACAGCTTTATTGGTCCTGCTGTCATTTTTACTTTTATCCATAAATAAATCAAATTTTATTGTTCAGTTCATTGTTTATTGTTAGAGTTAACATGCACAATTTAACATTTTTTTACAATTAACTTAATTAGCCAGGTTTGCATTATTTTCACAATCTTGTTTAGATCGGATTGTAAACCTGTTCGATATTTATCCTTTTTTCACGGACTTTGTCACCTAAGTACATTTTGCAAATAGCTGATTAGACATTACTTGGTAGGTCTTTAACAATATGACAATGAGCGTTGGTCCTAAAACAGAACTTTGGGAAACACCGCTCCCCAGTAAGCACAGATCGTTTTTAAAACGTTTAAAAAACGTTAAAAACCGTTTTCATAGGTTTTTTAAACGTTTTAAAAACGTTCTGTGCTTACTAGGTAGTTACATCAATCAGATATTGAGTCTCCAAATATAACACGTTGCTTGCGGTTTGTTAATGAGGCTTTTAACCAATTTAAATGATTGCCATTTTTACCATAATAGTTATTTTTGGTTTTTAATTCAAATTTGTTTCAAAACTTTTTTTTTTAGAAATACAAAAAAAAACAAGATTTATTCTAGTTATATATTTAAAAAAATATGTATTTTCTTTCGAGTAGCATGTATTTTGATTTTGATAATAAATTTTTTATTCGTTTAACTAGATTTTATTAAGGTATTTGTATATATGGGTCTACACAAAAATTTGTTCATTAAGACATTAAAATTATATATTCTTCATAAAGTTTATTTTAAGGGCTTCTAAGTGGAGTATCTTCACTGCTTCTTTGCGTCATCAAACATTCGAATAGCAATGGGAACAAATGGAAGAAGCACCTTGGCAGTGTTAGTCCAACGATAATATGGTCTTGCATCTTTAACTTTTACTAGATAAAAACAAATTTCACACACCTATATAACTTACTTTATTTAACTGTTTTTTTTTTTGATAAATTAAAATTAAAATAAATAAAACAATTACCGTATATGTCATCGTCTAACTCGCTATCATCTTCAAGACCTATTAAGACATCTTTTTCAACTCTCTTTTTTATATCTTCTATAACATTTCTATAATCTAAGTGCGCATCGTTATTTTAATTAATTATTTTAATTTTATTAGATAATTTACATAAATGCATTATTTTAATTAATTATTTTAATTTTATTAGATATTTACATAAATGCGCATCTTTATTTACATTAAAAATATACTGTCTTATTTCAATTAAACTTTCAAAAGCATTGAGAAAAAGTTTAAACTTAAAATTTTTCATTGAGAATGTTAGTTTTAAAAAAATAAAATGGCGCATATAAATATTTTCACTTTTAACCCCCGTTATACATATGATACCAATTTTAAAAAATGTTAGGATACTTTTTGGACCCAGTGTTTGTAAAAAATAAGTAAAAGTTTTGAAAGTTTTATAAATAGTTCTACCAGTAGCGCAGAAATTAAAAAACTTTGATAGGCCTGTAGTGGTAAATTATTTATAAAAGTTCTTCACTTGAATAAATCATTTAAAAACAAATCTTTTTGAAACAGTTTAATTTTTATTTTGCTTGGCACACCTTTTACTGTTTGTATATGATTACTTTAAACTAATATATTTTTACAAATGTATATATATATGTATATATATATATATATATATATATATATATATATATATATATATATATATATATATATATATATATATATATTTTCGGCAAACATATTTTAGTTGATTTTTAGCGGACCTGGTCAGACTTTTAAGACGTTATCTGGAGCTTTGCTCTTTTGTTACTGGCAGACCATAAGTCGCATCTGCTATAAGTAGTTAGTTGCTGACTTTCCTACAAAATAATATCTGTTAATTATTGGCTGGCCACATTTGACTTCAACTAATGGTTCAAAATGTAGTTGTTAAGTAAAATTATAGAAGCCGCTAAATATGTATAAATAAGTCCTACATATATATATATATATATATATATATATATATATATATATATATATATATATATATATATATATATATATATATATATATATATATATATATATATATATATATATATATATATATATATATATATATATATATATATATGTATATATATATATATATATATATATATATATATATATATATATTTATATATATATATGTGTGTGTGTTTATATATATATATATATATATATATATATATATATATATATATATATATATATATATATATATATATATAAATATATATATATATATATATATATATATATATATTTATATATATATATATATATATATATATATATATATATATATATATATATATATATATATATATATATATACACACATTACATTCAAACTATAGAGAAAGTTTTAATATTTTTAATCTCTTTTTTAATATTTTATAGGTTTTTATTAGGCTCTAAGCCCGCAGAGAAAAGTGAAAAAAAAGTATGGGCTTCTTTACCGCCCATTTTTTATAAGAAGTAAGAAACTTAAGTCGCTAACCTAAAACCTAGATTTTTGAATGAATGATTTTTAAACCATTTATTACAAAAAATTACCATAAAGTGTTTATTAAGATTAAGTATAGAAATGATCAGTGTGAAACAAATTTACCGTGACCCGTGTTTTACGGGTCAGGACCTCTAGTTGATATTAATAATAAATCAAATAGTACAACACTTTCATCAAATATTTTTTTCAGAAAATTAAAACTGTCATTTGTTTTACACCTATCATGAAACATAAAATTACTAAATGGTGTTTTATTACGTCAAATCTTATTTTTCACCATTTCAATTACACATAGTACAGACCAAACTGTCGTTTACAGCTTTTAAGCAACAGTAAGCCATCAATCATGACTTAAATTGATATTTACAGTCTTTTTTATTAAAAAATTCTAAAACATTATTTAAAATACCTTGTCTCACGCCAAGTTGACTCCGGTTGTAACAGGTACAGAAGATTTTTTTTGACGCATAATGTTTAGATTTTATTATTTTTTAAAAGGAATTTCACTCTTCCTTTTTTATCGATGTTATAAAACTTGCCCAACGGTGGAATTGATGCGGATTTCTAACCTCTTAGGCAAGCGCGCTAACCACTGCGCTAACAACTTACACAAAGTTTTAAAAAACATGATAATGTTGCATCAATTATAGCAAACTTAACTGCCAACTGCATTAAACTATTTTTTAATTCTTTATTTTTATTTCCATCACTTGTTTCAAAATCTGTATTGGGCAAAATTTTAAATCAAAAATTGTTATATTACTGTCAGAGTTCACTTCATAATCATTATTATTTGCTACTGAGGGAATGGTACTCTCAGTTAGGAGCTTTTATCTGAGATATTTTTGAGAAAATAATTATATCTCTTCTGGTGAATGTAAAAAATATGCTAAAGTTATTGATATGATCTTTCATGTAATCAAACTAGCTATTATCTTGCGTCGTTTTGTTCAAAATCATATGATTAAAACATTTATTCATTTTGAATTTTTTTTAAATTAATAAATTTTTTTATATATAAAAGCATATACATTTGGAAAATATGAGAGTAAACATTGTTCTAGTGACTTATTGAAAAAAAAAGTTTCAAAATCTAAGTATCACAAACGTAGTATTGAAGTCCAGTCCTAAAAAACTAAATATAATATAATATAATATAACATAATATAATACAATTATATATATATATATATATATATATATATATATATATATATATATATATATATATATATATATATATATATATATATATATATATACATACATCTATATATATATATATATATATATATATATATATATATATATATATATACATATATATATATATATATATATATATATATATATATATATATATATATATATATATATATATATATATATATATATATATATATATATATATATATATATATATATACACATGTATATATATATATATATGTTTATTTACCTATTAGATATTTAAATCTAAATCTATGTACCTTTAATGTGATATAATTAAACAAATATTATTTATTACGTGATATTTATAATATGACTCAGACATAGTGAGGTTTACTTGCAATTCATTTTCTGAGAAAGGTTACAAGGATTATAAAAATTAGGTTTATTCCTGTGAATAATGAAAGCGAAATACCATTTTGCTTTCTTTATTTTCAGGAACAAACCCTAAAAATATTATAAAATCAATAATTTAATTATTTGAATACCAAACTCACCAGTACTACCCAAATAGAATATATTTAGTTAAATTTTTGGACTAAAGAATAATCGTTATTTATAAAGATAATAACTTTATAGTTAAAATATTAGTTTATGGTTAACTTATTTAAATTTGTTTTATCTGTATATAGGATTTGAAAGATGACAATAGTTTTTTTTTTTTCAACAAATTGTTTTTTACTACCAATTTTATTAAACAAGAGTTTACAAAAAAGTTTTAAATTGAAAAAAAAAATTGTTTTTAACGCCCAAATATCTTAAACAAGAGCTTACAAAAAAACTTTAAATTGAAAAAATAAAAATTGTTTAAGTTTATCAGACGTTGCAACCATATTGTAAAATAAAGTTTATCTTACAAAGTAAATAGAATGCAATCAACTGTGAAGAATAGTACCAATCAATTTTTCAGGTTCACCAAAATGAAACCAAGTTCTTATTATTTCTCAATTAGTTTTAAAAAATACTGCTAGAATTTGCAGTTCTGCTTCTTGTATCAATTGCCATTACATACACCAGAAGTGAGTAAAGATTTAGTGGATATGCAAATTTATAATTTCGACTAAATAACCTATAGGAAACTAAAGCCGACACATTCTTTTTTTAACACTAATATGCTTAGTAAAAACTAATTTATGTATAAATTTTCTCAAGTGGTCTCAAAAAGTATTTAAATAAAAGACATTATTTATAATAAAGTGAAAATATTGCATATTTAGATTATAGAGATGTTCAAAATAATAATAAAAAGGAATTTAAAAGCAAAATTTTAAAGATGACGAAACATTGGTTTTTATTCTAGTCATTTTTGATTTAGTTTTAGTGTATCAAATAATGTTAAATTAAGCAGTTTATATAAATCAGTGAAAACTGCTAATTTTCATATATTTATATTTTTTCTAAAATTCAAGACCATATTGACAATGGTTGCCATTAGGTTAAGCGCTTTCTTTCATACGTTTCCTGCTGTTATAAAGTTTGGTAAGCGCTTTCTTTCATACGTTTCCTGCTGTTATAAAAAGTTTGGTAACGAAAAAATGATCCAATTGAGAGCCTTTAAATTAAACTTTATTATAGTATGTTTTTGTTGAGATTTCTTATATACGAATACTTTTTAAAAAGTGTTAGTAAAGCTTATGAAAAATGTAACTATTAAACACAAAACACTTGCAAGAATCTTCCGTAAGAAAAAAATAAAATAAATGAGCTTATAAAGTAAAACTTGTTTTTTTTTGTATTTAATAAAATTCTGAAAATATAATCAAAAAAATATAATCAAAAAAAATCAAAAAATATAATCAAAAAACTATTTTAACAACCTTTATTTTTGTTTCGCGATTATTCTATATAAGTATTATATAATCAATATTTCATTCTTCAAGTTAGGGTTCAAGTATTTTATATATCACTTTATTTTTTTAATCAATCTTAGATATCCAACCGTTTGAATTAGCTTGACAAATAAAAATAAAGTTTTTTGAAAATTTTCCCTTGTTTTTAAATTAGTTTACTCGAGTAATATTATAAAGTAAATTGTTTAATATTAAATATTATTATATAGTAAATATTATATAATTTAATGTTTAACTCTTTAAAATTTCTATTTACCACTTTAACAAAATTTCTTAAAATAACAAATTCTTAAAATCAGTATATTTAATATAGTGAAAATATTTTCATTTTGTCGAATGATTATATAACTCATCGAACAGATGTATGTTTGTATTGTGACATTTATTATGCTTTATTGTTTAATTAGTGGTAGTTGACAAAGTGAACATTTGCTTTCAACTTACTTTCTTTCAATAATACTTTTTATTGCATAGGATCTAACTTTGTCCATACGTTTACCATGTCAGTTT